GCTGGTATTCTTATAAGGATGTTGCTGGCTATGTGATTGCTGTCATAATGAACATGTTTCAAAACTTTTAATCGATGAAAGAATACAATATACATATGGCTGCTGAACTGTTTGTGATGCTTAAAGTTTGCTGTGTTCTTATTTGTCTCTTATTTCCAATAAATTTCAGGTTGTGAGAGCTAAGAAGAAGGACACTGGAACTGTCTATGCATTAAAGATCATGGACAAAAAATTCATCACCAAAGAAAATAAAACAGCTTATGTGAAGTTGGAACGTATTGTTCTTGATCAGCTGGATCATCCAGGAATTGTGCGGCTATTCTTTACCTTTCAAGATTCCTTTTCATTGTGTAGGTATTCTGGTTGTAACCTTTTAGAAATCTCCATATCTTCTGTACTTGTTTCAGATACACGTATTCTTTCTGGTTCAGTGTCTTTGTATTCTTTGTTATTTATTGGTTGTTGTATTCCCATTCCGGAATCTATTTGACACTGGCCTCTCTAATTTTGTGCGAAGACATGGCACTTGAATCCTGTGAAGGTGGAGAACTTTTTGATCAAATAACTAGGGTGAGCTTTAACCTTAAAAACATTTGTTTTCCATGTTATTCTCAAATTCCTCTGCCTTTACCTTTTCAATGAGAGAATCCCCTTGATGGTGTGATTTTCATGCTTAATTGCACATCAAGGATTATGTAAATATTATATTTTGTTCCTGAATTGTGCGCAGAAAGGTCGTCTCTCTGAGGATGAAGCTCGCTTCTATGCAGCAGAAGTTGTAGACGCACTTGAATACATACATAGTATGGGATTGATTCACAGAGATATAAAGGTATTCTCTCAAGACTATACTTATGTGCAACTTAATCATTTGAAAATGCTAATAGATTTTCAAATGGCAGCCAGAGAACTTGCTTCTTACATCAGAGGGTAACATTAAGATTGCTGATTTTGGGAGTGTAAAGCCCATGCAGGATAGCCGAATTACAGTTCTTCCGAATGCAGCATCAGGTATCTTATAATTTTAGTCATGAGAAGGCTCCATGGTTCCAAGTTTGAAATTTGATTAATATGATAAAATTCTTTTCTGGATGATTGTGTAGATGATAAGGCCTGCACATTTGTGGGGACAGCTGCTTATGTCCCTCCCGAAGTCCTGAATTCTTCGCCTGCAACTTTCGGGTAAGGCACTTGTGTTGAGTGACTAGGGCTTTTACGTTTTTGGCTGCTTTTGACTACTAGTTTTCTGTTCTTTATTTTTTTCCTTGTTCATTTTGTCTGTTCTAAAAAATTATGAACTATGTAGGATAACATATATTTTTTTGCTCGTTTGAAAATATCAAAACAGAAATGACCTCTGGGCACTTGGTTGCACCTTGTACCAAATGCTTTCAGGAACTTCTCCGTTCAAAGATGCAAGCGAGTGGCTTATTTTCCAAAGAATTATAGCAAGAGATCTTAGGTTTCCAAATAATTTTTCAGAGGAAGCTAAAGGCCTTATCGACCGGTTATTGGTAAGCTATCAACTTATACTTATTGCAATTCAGCTTCTATTAGTAATTGTGCTAGTGATATCTAGCCTTCCCTTAGGATGACAGCCGGTTAGACCAAGTAAATAGCCCTCCACCCACTCTGGAACAAAAAATGTTTTTTTGGTGAACTGGAAAGACAACATCCATATTATCAAAAAAAATTATGGGATTCTTTTTCTTCAAAATTATATGGAGTTATACACCACTTATGTTCTTGGGAATGTAACTGTTTCAGGATTTAGATCCCAGCAGAAGACCAGGTGCCGGACCGGATGGTTATGCTGCACTGAAGATGCATCCATTCTTTAAGGGAGTTGACTGGAAAAATTTACGAGCACAAACTCCTCCAAAACTGGCTTTGGAGACAGGGGTATGGATTTCAATTTTGTTTTGGAAATATTTATATGGAGAAATTCAACTCTTGCTTATATTATTCCATTCTTGCATGGGCATTTTTAGATTGTTTATTAAAACATTGTGTTTATATGCTTTTGGTGTTCAGTCAGATAAGGGTGATAGCCGCGATAACTCATGGAACCCCTTACACATTGGAGATGGTGCAGCAAAACAAAATGAGGGTAACAGTGGTGCCACATCTTCTTCTGAAGGATCTGGTCATGTAACTAGGCTTGCTTCAATTGATTCCTTTGATTCCAAATGGTATTCTCTACACCCGTGCTTTGCGTTTAGCATCACTTGTTTTACTTGTAAGACCTAGATTATTTTGCTTACGAAGTATTTTGTAAACTTCTGTGTAATAAGTGTAATGTTATTCCTGTTTCTTGGAAAGAATCTTGGATCTAAATATGCTTAACTGACACTTGATTTGAAGGTTAAATGTTTTATTTCTAATTACTATAGCAATTGCCTTTGCTTCTTTCTTTTATGAAATCCAAATCGATGTTTTAATCTATGTTTTACCATGCTAACAGGCAACAATTCCTGGAGCCTGGAGAGTCGGTTCTTATGATCTCAATGGTGAAGAAAATTCAGAAACTGACAAGCAAGAAGGTGCAGCTTATCCTCACCAACAAGCCAAAATTGATTTATGTGGATCCTGCAAAGCTAATAGTGAAGGGAAATATAATCTGGTCGGACAACTCTAATGACTTCAGCATCCAAGTCGCTAGTCCATCACAGTTCAAGATTTGTACGGTATGCCCTTACTTCCTGTTCTCTCTGAGTCACATATCATTTTCACTCAGTTTTCCCCTAAGATTCTGCGGCATGGCTCTATTACTGAGAAAATACTTTACAGTGTATTTACGATAATATGACATTGAACTCTGGAGTGCCATGAAATGCGATGCTGTTATTGCCTTGAGTTGATGAAATTGCTTCTCAAGTTTTACGTAGTTGCATTTCCTTTTCTGATACTATGTAATTTTTTCAGCCGAAAAAGGTACTGCAATTTGAGGATGCAAAACAAAGAGCTTGGCAGTGGAAGAAGGCAATTGAGGGGCTTCAAAATAGGTGAAATCCGTGTGTGGTCTTCATACATTTCTTTTTTTGGATATCATAGTGAGGAGGAACAAAGATCAAAATTTGCCCCGGGTAATTATTATCTAACGAACGAGGTCGGTGTCTGCGGATTCATCTTTTTCAAGGTGCAAAGCTTCCGTCCTTCTCGATGCCTAGAACTAAGCATGTGAAGAGGGTTTTTCGCCCGTTTCATGCTTTGTGCGGCATAATTTTGTACTTGTGAGGTCCTAAGTTGTTGGGTCTGTAAAGGGGCTGGGATCGTTACTTGTTTATTGTATCTAAAGTTACAATCCAGTTAACGAAATTTTTAAATATCTTTACATTGAAAGATATGATGTTTCTCTAAATAAACAAAGTGAGATGTGAAATTGTTGCATCTTGTTCCTAACTCTTGAGATGGATGCTGTTGCAACTAACCCTTAGAAGTGCCTGCGCCGCATGATTGGCGACGTAAAAGAAGTGTGCGCGGCGATTTTTGAGTTCTGAATCATTTCATGGCTGTGATAAAAAATTGACTTCTTTAGTTTTGAGACTAGCTTGAAGTTTATCAGAAATCCATGGACCAACCCCATCGTCTCCACCCCAAGGATGCCTTTGGCATCCAGGGCCACAGACCGACCACAGAACCCTGTTCATAGCTGACCCGCTACAGATGATTATCGGTGCCATTATCCATTCCTCGTCGAATTATTGTTCCATCAGTAAATGTTGAAGTGGTCAAAATGTTACGCAGATGATTATCGATGTCGTTATCTTCGTAACCATATATTAATGTCCCAAATGCCTAATGTTCGACTAATTCTGATTTTTATATAATTAGACAATGATATAATACTCACTACTATGAATATATCATTCTCTGTGTTTTCTTAGACCATCTCCAAAGGAAATGTCAAATTATAAGTTTCAAATTACAATTGATGACTGATGTGACAATCTGAAATCTCATGTCAAATTTTGTACTTCTTCAACCGAATTGTCAAATGTTATTTTATTATTTAAATAGAGCTCCAAATGGTTGTAATTATTAAAAAAAATGTTAAAAACAAAATTTTTATTGGTTGAAATATTAGTGGAATAAGAGACCCACCATTAAAATGAATTAATAATAAATTTAAAGTTGATGTCAAATTTGACTCCAAATCACCAAGCTTTCAAATCCAGTTAGCAAATAACATTTCGATTGGAAAAACTTTTTATATCAAGTATGCAAGTGGCATTCCACCTAGGATCAGGAAGTTATGCACAGTGGCACAGAGACTTTTGTGGTCAATGGAATGAAAGCTTATGCAAGTGGCTTCAATGGCAAGTAATTCTGATCAGCAAGTTCATATTTTTTCAACAATTTCTTTTCAACGTCGCGACCATGACTGCAAAACAGGTGTCGCAATGCTTCATTATGCTGGTTTTGTTCTCCCTGCTAGCTGTTTCTTCGTTTTCTTTACCATTAAACAGGAAATCTTTGAATCTGATCGAAGAAGTTCAACCGCAAAGGACCGTATTTTGGTCTTATCACAGTTGTAACGTTGTAATAGTGAGCCATGCTTACTGTCTGCTAACGCACCAAAAAGTTAGCAATGTTCAATCTCTCAGTTAAACGCTGGCTGCTTAATTTATGGCACTGATTCACTCAAAAAAATTTCTCATGTATTATCGTGTTAAATCATGTTAGGGCTTAGTTTAAGTTTTGCACATGGCCCTCAAAATCTCATGGCAGACCCCGTTCAGGGATTGGAACTATAGTTTTCAGAATACATAACCACATCGAAGAGCTTCTCAGAGTGAAACTACTAAATGCACGAAAAGTTAGTTACTATCACACAGCTCTCGGAATCTTAACACACATAGAATTTGGCCAATTTTATCCGTTTTATTGACACAAGAAAGAGAAAAAGCCCCGTATTGCGCTGCATTTTCATGTTGTAACTGGTTAAGGGTAATCTTTCGAGTCATCCTGATGAAATTCGAAACGCTTCTGAATCAGGTGAATGCTGCTGCAGCAACACAGCAAATGGTGGATCTGTTTGACATTGTAGGAATTGTCCATTTTGGCATTGCCGGAAACGCCAATAATTCCATGTCAATTGGTGATGTATTCCTCAACAGTTTGCACGCTGGCATTTGGGATTGGCTGGTAAGTTTAGTACATTCTTAATCTTTTTCCATCTTTCTGTCCTAAAAATTGCAATATTGGTTTTAATTACGGACAGAACCCAAGTGGAACTGTGAATTACAATGACGTCGCTGGCTTGGACTTCAAAGGATACAATGTACCAGAAGGAGGAGATAACCTGTTGGGACACATTGGATTTAGTTATGAATTCTTCTCTGAGTCCGGAAAGGCCAACACCGCTCGACCAATTTTTTGGGCAAACACTACTCGCCAGTGGCTACATGTTGCATCCAACCTGAAGGTCAGTCATCCACATCACCTCATTTCTGTGCTGCAATAATCTTGGAGAACTAGAAATGAAAAGGATTGATACCAAAACCTTTGTAGCGTAGCAGCTATAAGTTGAAATCCGTATTTCCTTTTTCCTGAAAACTAAGGGATGTGATTTTTGCACGCCGCTTTTTGCACCTGTGTTTATTTATTTGCTTTGGACTAGATAAATCAAATGAGAATCGAGGATAGTGCAGAGGGAGAAAGGATTTTTGCGGAAATCAATTTCCCAAAACTAATTGTAGCTTCTGTCATACTACTACTATAGGGGATCAATCTGAACCAATGCGTAAATTCAAGTGTGTGTTTGCCACAGAAGCCGAAGCTAGTTGTTAGCCTTAGAGGCTCAGCATCCAACATTTTTGTGGACAATGCCGCTTACAGGGACTTCCTTTTTAAAACTTTTCGGGTTTCATCTGTGGACATGGAAAGTTCAGCAGTGGTGATGGTAAGCATTTCATACATCTGCATGATTCATTTAACATTCTGAAAAATAATTAAGCTCGTATTTGTCTGCAAAATGGTTAACGTGCTGTGAGGTTTTGGCAAACAAGCTTGTCGAATGGCTTTCTGGTGATTGTCATCCGAGGGCTGTTGGATATAGCAGGTGGGCAAACAGGACACAACTCTGTTGACACCTTTGGGCCTCTTGCAGCTATAAACGCTTGCAAAGTAGTCATAAAGTTTATCGAGGAATTTCCGAAGGAAATTAAATCATGAAGTTCTTGCCAAACTTGTTTGCTTCAAACCAAGATTGTGGTAATTTTCCATCTGATATATGCAATAAGAAGAAATATCCAGTGTTGCAATGGGTTTGTAGCCAAATGGTTAATAGTATTCACCCATGTACACGAGGTCTATATGAGCTCAAGTCTCCTCCTGCCTAATATCACTTGTGGGTTGCTCCCCTCTATGGTTTGTACCAAGCTTGACGAAATTAATGCAAAAACTTACATGCATATATACACAACTCTTAAGGATTTTTCCCCCCTTACTACAACAGTGAGGGTAGCGAAGGATTAGACAAGCAGGCCTTGGTCTTCGGACAACAAAACCCTAAACCCTACACACCTGGGCTTGGTCATCGGACAACTCAGTTGCCTACCATTCACAAAGCGAATACACAAACCTAGCCCCTCATATAGAACGCCTCCTGATCCCTCCAAACATCTATGCTAGCCATGCTTTTTCTTTTCATGAAAGCGATATTGGGGGAGGGGAGATCAAACTAATTAGACTTCGAGCGCAGGGTGAATGCTCTTAAACCATTCAGCTAAATGCACTTTTCAAAGTAAAAACTTATTAGGTGCAAAAAGAAGTACAACAAAGAGAACATGAATCCAGACTCTGCGGAAAGAACTGAAGAAATAGCATAAGCATAAGTCTCATAAGGACTTTTATTATGTCATCTGCAACCAAAAAACGAACACGAACACGAAAGAAAAATGGTACATCATCTTAAAAAAAAAACCGTAATTGTTGTATCAATCCTAGCTATATTATTTTCTTTGATTAAAGGGACTTGAATGCAGTCAACTTATTCCTTGCTCTTCTTATCGATGATAAGTTTGCTACTGTAAACCATACAAAGCACGTATTCCATCAATGTCATCCCCAGTCAGATCACGTTTTACAATCCCATAAGAAAATTTGGGATACATGATCGCATCGGGGAGGTCAAGATTGTGATCAAGTCCTAGAAGATGACCAATTTCGTGCACAGCGACGGATTCCAAGTCTACCTCATTGGGTCCTGGATTGGCACTCCACTTCTCATCTGCATCAAAATGGAAATTACCACCTGTAGGCGGATTCGCGTGTGCTAAAGCCCCTTTGAAGCCATCAAATGGGGCCATATCTCCATGGGCGCCCCGGTGAAAGCCAATGGTAATGTCAGCTGATGAAGTAGCAGGCACTTCCTCAAATGTGAAACTGGTCACTTGTGCCCATCTCTGAAATGCTTGTGCACATATAGACCTCACATTCTCTGTGCCGGGGACTTGGCTTGCACTCGAAGCAAAGCGATATCTCAAATGGGTTTTCGTCGGTGGCCATCTTAGCGGACCAGGGAAGAAGAACTCATAATAAGAAACTCCATGGATGGACTTGAGCTTGCGGTTGTGGTTTTTTGTTCCCTTTCGTGTGCCATTGACAACATCCGGTACACCACATCTTGGCACCATCATTTGTTTCACCGTGGTAGTGTCTAGACTTCCGGTGACATTCAAGTGGAAGCTTTTTTGGTATGACTTGATGGCGGACTCTAGAAGGTCATCAAACTCATCGTCGTTGGCGTGTTTTGAGTGATCATAATTCAAGTAGCCGAATTTGGTGAGGTATTTTTTGAGCTCTTGCAATCCACTGACGTTTTGACCCTTGTGGCATCCCTCCAAGTGTTGGATGAACTTGAAGGAGTCATGCTGATGACCATGGGGATCGGTAGGTTTTGCAAGAGTTTGCTGAGATAGCAACACAAAAATCAAAAGGGAAAAGACTACGCAAACCGAGGCGGTTTTCGAGGCCATTGCCGGCATTTGTTAGCTAGATAGATAGAGAGATGAATGAAGGGTTTGTTGTGTTATTCTTGGCTCCCTTTGCCTCTATTTGTAGATGAGCATTGCAGCATATCAAAAAAGTTTGTGCCTATTTTCTTGTTGGAAAATAAGTAGAATTTGCATATACGCGTTATGGGACTTGGAAATTTTGTTAAACGGAGTCAATATTTAGTAGTATGAATGTAATGACATGATGACGGTCTGTCATCTTCTTCTATGCCAAGACTGCTAGAATCAAGTAATTAGGTCCGTTGATGGACTAAGTCATTCACTTCTACTTTAAATATAGCTTAAACACACACACACAGACACATACATACATACATATATATATATATATATATATATATATATAATGTGTTATTTATTCAAATTCAATCCTAAACACCAAATTAACGAGGTTTTAAACTTCAACTCTATGCATGCATGCATGCATAATCTGCACAGTACGTCAACCTTAAGACAATGCTTGTTGTGCTGAATATTCTAAGAAAGATAATTTGTTAAGTCATGACTGATTTTGTAGAAATTTTAGTGACATCGTTTTATCAAATGAGTTCAATGTACGCGTGTTTTATGTATTCTTACCAAACTGTAATTATACGCAACATGTGTTGGTTGACGCGACATAAGCCAAAGTCGAAGTCCTTTCCTTAATCTTTTTTTCGCTGTCTGAACATAGTCATCAAAGTAGAGAAATTTGGGCAAATGAGGCTTTAGACCTAACTTGAGAAGTTTGAATATGTTTGTATTCGGTCCACGCGGATATGATCACGTAGTTTTACTAATTCACGTATTATAATTATATGGACTTAATTTATTCTTCCCGTCATGTATATATGTCAGAAAAGTTGATCCAACATGCTGACTTGGGCCGAATGGATCCCTTCTTTCTTATTTGGCCAATACTAACAATGATTAAGTGTATAGTGAGCATACGCCACAGTTATGATGGTGAGCAAAAATGTTCTCTTTCTTTTTCTTTTTGTTTGTTGTGTAAACACAGTTATATATCTAGAGAAGTTCAAGCAATTAATATTTAGCTCAATTGATTAAAAAAATGGACTTTCTCTTCATCAACAAGGTGAGGAAGAAGCCAATCTCAATACTAATAGCAAAAAAAAGCTTATTTACAGTAATATGCCCCTGAAAGTGTTCGCAAATCCCTCTTTGCCCCTCCGATAGTCACTTGGGTTCTCACAACTGTTAATGTGAGTCTTAATTAAGGATGTAAAGTTTATGTAAATATTTTAGGAGTCCTTTATTAGGAAGGATATATATATATATATATATATATATTTTTTTTTTTTTTGTGTGTCCTTTTATATTTTATTGTGAAACAAGGATTGTGTATATATATTCTTAATCTTGTGAATAATATGAAGTAAGTTATTCAGCCATGTAATTCTATTTAACATCCGAGCCTGGTTTGCTGTAACTTTAACTTTAAACTTTTTCATCATGTTGCTGTTGTGTCTGCAAGAACTATGTTCGTTGTTCTTGCTGTGTCTGTGCTGCTATGTTGTCGTGAATGTGTTGCTGTGCTGTCGTGAGCTTGCTGCAATACAACAATGGTGAACAACAAGGAGGGAGGCTTAGCACAGAATCCTAAGGGTGAAATCGCTGGTTCAACCAGTCAATCTGTCATCAATTGTGGTAATTTAGAATGAAGTTTATGCTGCGTCGAGTGCTGTCAAACTCAATGGATCGAACTATCCCCTTTGGTCCAAAGTGTTGGAGATGCATATCGCTGGACGCAGTAAAAAGGGGTTCGTGACATGAAGTATCATGGAACAGAATGAAGGCAATGCTAAGTATGAGACGTAGGAGATGGGGAATGCAATTATGAAAGGGTGGTTGATTAATTCTATGGATCCTATTATCATGGGATTTTTCATTCACCTTCGCACGACCAAAGAAGTATGGGAAGAGGTTGCTCGAACATATTAGATGGCTTTGGAATCTCCCAGATTTATAAACTGAAGGTTAAGTCGTTCCGACTTCATCATGAAGGACATCCTGTGTTTGCTACGCTGATCTCAAGTCCATATGGTAGGAGTTGGATCAACGCAGGCCAATTAAGATGAAGTGTGCTCATGATTTGAAGACACTTCGAGAAGAGATCCAATTAGACCGGGTTTATGTTTTTCTAGCAGGTCTAGATTATATCTTTGATAAGGTTCATAATGATGTTCTACAAACTCAGCCTTTACCATCTGTTGAAGATGTGTTATTTGTGGTTAGGCGTGAGGCACAACGCCATGCCACCATGATGGGTGAGAGTAACGCAATCAGCTAAGGAGGGCTACATGCGGTGGCCATGGTTTCTCGACCATCTGGGGGTTTTCATTCCAATGGGTCTTCAAATTCATCTCTAAATTTTGGTCCCTTTACTAGAGAAAACAAAGATGATTTGAAGTGCACTTTATGTGGTCAAACCCGCCACACTGAGGATACATGTTTTGCGAAGCATGGAGTAATCGAATGGTTTCCGGAGTTGAAGAAACGATTGCGAGCAAAGAAGCGTGCAAATAATGGAACAAGTGAAGGACATGCATCCTTGGTTGTTACCAAATTGAGTAGTACTAAAGAAGTCGAGATTACCTCTAAAGATCTGAGTCAATCTCTGTTGACTCGTACTGGTTAATCATCATCTAATACAGATATTGTGGGACATGTTCCCTTAGCTTCCAATACTGATCATCATACATGTTGGATTCTCAACTCTGGTGCAACGACTTATATGACTTACGATAAAACTTTGTTTCAATATATGACAACTTCTCATAGAAAGTGCATATCTACTACCAATGGTACTACTACTCCAGTTGTTGGAGTAGGAATAGTGTGTCTCACACCCTCTCTTTCATTGCATCACTATTTACTCGTTCCATCTTTATCTCACCATCTATTATTTATACCACAAGTTACTAAGCAGTTGGATTGTGTTGTTCTAATGTATCCATCCTTTTGTCTACTTTAGGATATTCAAACCAAGGAGATAATTGGGCGTGACACTAAGAGAGAGGGGTTGTATTATGTGGATGACGTAGTTCCTAGAAGAGCTAATGTTGTTCGAGCGTCTTGTGCTAGTAATTTACAAGAAGTTTGGTTAATGCATCGCCGGTTGGGCCATATGTCTTTTGGTTATTTAAAGCGTATGTTGCCTAGTTTATTTCGTGAAATCAATGAATCAGACTTACACTGTGAAGTATGTATTCTTGCTAAAAGCCATTGTGCTTTGTTTCCTCCATTATGAATAAAAGATTGTTTCCATTTGATCTCGTGCATTCTGATGTCTGGGTACCGTCCCCTGTTAGTATTTCTTCTGGAATTAAATGGTTTGTTATGTTCATTCATGATTGCACTCGTATGACCTGGTTGTATGTGTTGAAAAATAAGAGTGATGTTAGTATGGTGGTTCGGTCTTTTTCTCAGATGATTCAGACCCAATATTCCTCTGTTATTAAAGTTCTTTGCTCTAATAATGGAGGTGAAAATATTAATTTTGAGGTGTCCGAATTTCTTCGTAATCAAGGAATTATTCATAAAACAACGTGTCCTTACACTCCACAACAAAATGGGGTGGCAAAAAGGAAAAATCGCCATATTCTTGAAACTGCTCGTGCCTTGCTCATTGGTGCTTCCATTCCTAAGCGTTTTTGGCCTGAAGCAGTCACTTATACTGTTTATGTAATCAACCGTATGCCATCCCGAGTTGTTGGTTTTCAAACACCTTTTCA